GCTTGCAATATACCATAGATAAATGAAATAGTTATATAAAACTATTGTAACATAGCATTCATGTAGCAAATACATCTTAATGGAGCAATTTGAAAGCAGCTTATCTACTTTCAATTGATTTACTTTTAATCTCCTTCTTCCTGAAGGCTAAATAAACAATCATTGAATATTAAATCATTTATTGGTTATTTAATGAATTTGTATAATTTATTTAACAAATTTAATAACTCAATAAGAATTTTATCAACAGCAGTAGATTTTTATCTTGTTTCAATACTCTTATTATTAATGAGACTGTCAAGTATTTATTAAGTTAATTGCTAATAATCAATAAATTATTATGAGTCTTCACTCTCAAAAGAACTATCAATCAATTAACTTAATAATATAATGATGAGTTTTCTTACTGATTTTACATTGAAATCAATTGCTATAACATGATTTTTGTAGGTTAATTGTTTCTCTTCTAACTTTCCTGCCATAAAATCAAAATAGATTTCTAACACTATCAGATTTATCAGTAAAATTCCATAAAAGAATATATATACAAATTCAACATTCTCAATTTTATTTGTTAATAATTCTTAATTATGTAATAATATTACTATTATTATAATAATACTATGTTTTATAATTTATTTATCTTCTTATTCTAATTCATTACTCTTCAGTAGTTCTTAAATTAAATTTAGTAAAACACTAATAAATTTTACAATTTTCTCAGTAATACTGTCACTTAATCTAGTCTCTTTCAATTTCTATAAAAGTAATTTAAACTTTTCTGGATCTTCAGATTATCTAATATCAATTGAAACTTAATCTAAAGGTTTTATTATTTGAATAGCTTTAGAGGCCTTATACAAATTATTTCCATTAGAAGCACAGGCAGCAATTATATAATTTTAAAATGTTTATAAAAGAAATGACAAGATTTCTTTTTCAATTTATGTTAAAATATGATAGAAATAACTGTTTTATTAAATAATACTCACACTCTTACCTTGATATTATTTAAAAAATTGTCATAATTTATCAAATCCACCAAGTTATAAAAATTTTCTCATCCATTTATCTTTTAAAATGAGAATACTTAGTCATCTATCAAAGCTTATAAATTATTAGAATCTCATTGATTCATTAGAAATTCAATAATTTAGAGACTATATAAAAATCTATAATGACTACTAACTAAAATTTAATCTCAATCAGTTGGAGATTAGATATTTCCAAAGTAAGCATCTATTTAATAAATTATGGTGATGGAGGCAATCTTCCCAATAAATACCAAGTTTTCTCTTAAACTTCATTACTTGAATTTCTGCAACAACTGTTCAAAAAGTAAATCCAAATAAATTTGATTCTATAAAATCTATACTCTAGGTAAAAGTTAAGCATTCACTTATGGGAATTGTACTCTATTTCCTCTTATTAAATCATTTCTATAATGTAAAGTTTAGAGATTTAACCAAACAGTTGATATTTTGGTTCTTGCAGAATCAGTATAAAAATCAAAGAAATCATTTAAAGTCAAAATAGAGTCCTTATGTTTGTCATAATATTCAAATGTTCTCTATATATTAGCATCATCAATACTACAAGGATTAACAGTACAACCAGTTACAAATCTAGTACAATCTTCTTTGCTCATCTTACCATCTCTAAAGATTTCTGCAAAAACTTATTTGACTGGCTCAGACAATTCATCTCCATCTAATTGATTGACTTCATGAATTTCCTTTACTTATTTTTTAAATTCCATAATTATTTTTCCTTTTTTAATCATAACCTTTGATCATCTTACCATTCTCAGTAAACTTATTTGATCATTATTTCTATTTTCTTATAATTTATTGAATAATACTTCTAATGTACTTTCAAATTATCAATAATAATCTTTTGTTAATTGATATACTTTTTCATTTTCTGTTTCTAAATTCATTTACCATAACACAAATTCATTAACTTCTTATTTATTTATTGCTGTCAAAACTGTCTTGAAACAATTAAATCCTTCTTCAGTTAATTGAACCAATAAAAAAGATTTCAAATCCTTAATAGCAACCATAGATCTCAATTATGATTAACTATTCATATTAACTTGAAGACTAACAAACCAACTATTCCCAAATACTTGAAATAATCTTAAAAGTCAATCTATATTCATTTGTATTTATATTCTAATAAAAGAATTAGATAAATTGCATTCTTATCTTGATTTCATACAAATAATCCTTTTATTTCTTTAATTCTAATATTGATTTAATTATCACTTCAATAATTTTAAATTTGCTATCTAACTACGTCAATGCAAAATTTCTAGTATAGTAACCCAAGCTGTTGGCTAAATATCCAATTTCTCTATTAACTTAATCAATACTCTTAAACCTACATTGACTTATTCTCCTATTACAATACTCTCATCAATCATACAAACTTATGCTCCTTTATGATGTCTAATTTCATTTTAAGTTACTTAATCTATAAAATATGAAATGTATTATTCTAACATTATTTAATCCATTCTTCACTGCTGTCCAATAATCATTACAAAATTTTTAGATAATATTCATCTTTATATCAATAATTAATTTAATTTTACTTATATCAAGAAGTAATTCCAAATCATCTTTGATTA